CCTGGCTGCTGTGACCGCTGCCGCCTGGCTGCTGTGACCGCTGCCTCCTGGCTGCTGTGACCGCTGCCTCTTGGCTGAGTGACCGCTGACACCTGGCTGAGTGACCGTTGCCCTTGGCTGAGTGACCGCTGCCACCTGGTTGCTGTGACCGCTGCCGCCTGCCTGAGTGACCGCTGCCTTCTGGCTGAGTGACCGCTGCCCTTGGCTGAGTGACCGCTGCCCTGGCTGACTCCCCTGTCCGGCGGTCCCACGCCCCATGCGGTTCTGGGAGCCGCACTCCTGCACGTGCAGGGTCCTGCGCCGGGAGGCATCCCTCCTCTTCTCCACGTGTGAGCTCTTGTGCATCCCCCTCACTCGTCCTCTTCCTGTCCCCTTCTCTCCTCTGAATCAGTCACTTTTTCTTCTGCTTTTCCTGCCCCGCATCTCATACCGTGGCAGCTCCATGTGTCAGCAGAGCTGTGCTCTGCGGGGTCTTTCGTGACTGATCTTCCAGAATCGCCGGCTTGCTCCGGCCTTTCCTTCCCATGTGTCTTTGGGTGGACCCAGGCCACCAGCTCTTCTTGTGGTTAGCTTTGAACCGATGGTGTTGTCTCGTAACTCTCTCTGTGTTTGCCTTGCCAGAGTGTGTGTTTACTCTGAAGGCCCCCATTCCCCACCCCTCAGGGCAGGAGCCTCTGAGCAAATGGTTAGTACACGTGGCTGCTGACTGGCAGGTGGGGGATGTGAGTGCACCCCAAAAGGCTTTGTAAGGAAGGCCTTGTAGCCTCCTCCCAACTCATCACTCTTGTAAACCTAGTGACGTACCACAGGGGGTCACCCTGAAGTTACAGTCGACTTGATGGCCTGGTCTGGTGAGGTCTGGGTCTGGGGAGGACAGACCCTCAGTGCCTGGTAGGGACTGGGAGGGCAAGGCACATCTGAGTAAAGGAAGTTTCATATTTCTACCTTTAAGACTATTTTTAAAGCTAATCTTTTGAATAAGCCTCTTGAAGAAATGAGAATTTTGAGAGACTGGATTTTTTAAAAAACAAGCAGGTACACGTCAAAAATAGATATTCTGGAAATTTTTCTAGAGTGCCCATTCATTGTTATTAGTGTATGATAAGAATATTTAATTAATAATTAAGCAATACATTTAACTTGAGCTTGAAGGACGCATCCAGAGAAGTCTAGTTAATTTTCTGTGAGTCAGTAAAGAAGTTTAAAAAAATACCGGTTTTTATAAAAGCAACTGGATATGATTATTTGTGCATTGAAGCATCAAGGTTCTGGCAGTTAAGAGACTGAATTTTGGTTAAGAGAATATTAGTGCATCATTTCTTTAAGGACAAAAGCATTTTCATTTGTTTTAATAAACTATAGTTAAATGGAAAAAAATACTCATATACAGAGTATATACAGATAATAGAATGAGTTATCTTAAGGTTATAGGAAGAGAGTCTGAAACAGAAAAATTAAGGGGGGGGAAATACATCGGCTGAGGTCTGGTGACGATTCCTGGCACAATGGGTAAGCACTGGACCACTAGCTGAAAGGTTAGTAGTTCAGACCCACCAGCCACTCTGCCTAAAAAAAGATACAGCCATGTCTTCCCATACTTTTCAGCCTCAGAACCCCCATGGGGCAGTTCTGCTCTGTTCTAAGGGTCACTCAGAATCAGATTGGCTCTACCGCACACAAAAACAACAGTGAAATCTGGTACCCTGTTCCCACAGCTATTGATAAACCCAGTTTCTACTTATGGAGTATTGTGTTTCCATTCATAGTTGAGAATTTTATTAGATTCATGTACAGGTTTGTGTTTAATGCCCTCTTACAAGCAATACAGGATTGTATTTTGATAATGAGCGATCTTTCCTCTTTGTGAAATAATTTTTGTTGTCTCTGTTGCGTAAGTTCTTGGTAAGGTAAGCAGGATTCGCCTTAGGACTCCGTAGCTTTGGAGAATTAGGAACTTAGGGGGCAAAACAATGCATCACAAATCATGAGCAAATGGTGGAGAATATCAGGCCTTGGGTTGGCATTTAGCTCCAGCTTCTGTATATGTTAAATGAAATAAGATGTGACGCTTGTATAGTAGTGTGAAGAGAAATTGTCTGGTAGTTTCTGTTTAAATATTTTAATGTAAATATATTTGTAGTTTTAATGCAGTGAGTTAAAGAATGCAAAAATACTTATAAGTTGAGGATGTTCGTGCTGATGTGCAGACTCACATGTGACCTCTCCCGCAGTGTTCCGCGTCGAGCTCTCCTGCACCGGTAAAGTCGATTCTGAGGTCATGATACTCATGCAGCTCAACTTGACAGTAAACTCTTCAAAAAATTTTACAGTCTTAAATTTTAAACGAAGGAAAATGTGCTACAAAAGTAAGAAATTTGTTCAACAATATATGTGTTTCACATAGATGTAAGAAGGTCAAAAGTAGATTTCTGTTATGTGGTGTTTTTTTTTTTTTTTAAATTTCAACAAATCTTCAGTATAGTTTCAAATGAGGGGAAAAAAAGAGAAAAGCAGTGACATATGTAATTCCTTGGCAGTCCTCCATGCCCCATTCTTGTCCCACTAAGTTCCTGCTTGCTTAAAATCTGTTATCAGTGTTAAGAGGTTTTCCATTGTTGTTATGTGCTGTTGAGTTGGAACAGACCTATAGCTGACCCTCCAGTGAGTTTTTAGATGTAATAAATCATGTTCTCCATTAGGAATATGATTTCTAGTAGAACAGTAGGAGTGTGAAATAGTACTGGTAGCTGAAGAGGTGTAAAAACCAGGCAAGCCTGGAGTGGTCTCTGCGTAGTTAAGTGTGAATGACGTTACTTTTATGGAGGTAACAGTCCTGCAGGAGTTTAGCCTCAGTGCCCGGAACCCTGGGCTGGAACAGCTCAGCTCCGCTCTTCAGGTGCTGAGAGTGGATACTCATCCCAAGTATCACGTTTCCCTCTGTAAAATGGGTATATCTCTTACTTCAGAGTTACTGTTTATTTAATCATTAAAACTAATTGAATCTAATATAATCCTCAGAATACCGTATGTGAAAATTTACCAAATGTTAGTTGGGTGTGGTTTTAAAAAATTATTATTTGTTGAGTTTCCCCCTTTTTAAAATTTAAGTGAAAGTTTACCAAGTTGATATTGATTACAGCTCACTAAGGTAGTGAATTACGCTGTCTCTTCAAACCCTTACTATGTTATTCCCTCCCAATCATTCTTCCACATTCAGTTCTACAACATCAATTACAATATGCACAATATCTGACTTTTTGCTATTGTTTTTTGTTTTAATTACCTCTTACTTAAGAAGATGACGGTGGCTTTGAAAGAATTCCAGCATGTTGAGTAAATAGATCAAAGAAATTCTAGTTCTCAGTAAATCTCCTCTCTTTAAATTCTGTGAACAGGATTTTAAGTTCACAGAAGGAGAGTGAGTTAGTATCTAAGGTAGGGGCAAAAAAACCCTCTTAAATTTAATAGGTGCTTATTATGTTCTAAGTATGCATTAAGCCCATTTAATACGCATTAAATTAGTAATTTATGTGCGTTAAACACATTTAATCTTTACAACAACTGTAGACATTAGCTGCTCTCGTTATCTTGCTTTTCACATGAGTAACTTGAGTTTAGCTAATCTGTCTCCTTTACCAGCCATACATCCAGGTGGTACAGCGGGGATGCAAACTGTGCTCTTAGCCTTGTTTATCCTCCCAACCAATTTCCCAATTAAAATTGTTGCTGAATGTGCGGAAAATACTTAACGTTCACCAAGTGAGTAATGGTGACTGGTGTGAAGACACGAGCCAGTGAGGAAGCTGTGCTGCCCTAGATGGGTGGTGGTGGTACGAGCTGTTGTTACATCTGCACTGATGCATAGCTGGGCCTCCAGCGGATTTTCAGACTGAAAATTGTTGATTTGTGCCATCTTTGTTTGGGTTGGCAGCCCATCTCCTTACCACTAGGCCACCAGAGCCCCTTTAGAATGTTGTTGTGTGCTGTTGAGTAGAAACCCACTCATAGCTGAGCCGCCTCTGGGTTTTCAGAGGCCGTAAATCACGTGGGAAGAGACGGCCCATCCATCCTTCTTCCGTGGAACAGCTGGTAGATTCGAACTGTGTACCTTTGGGATTGCAGCGCAGCTTCTTGCCACTGGGCCACCAGAGCTCCCTCCTTCAGAATAGACACTTTAAAAATGAACAGTTTGCTAAAGAGACCTGGTGTGTGGTTTTGTTAAACTCAGGACTGCTCGCTAAAAGTTTAGTGGGTCTGTGAGAGAATATTTGAGAATCTCCTTCGCTAAAGATTACAGCCAAGAAAATGATGGGAAATTCTGTCCTGGCACAAGGGAATACCGTGAGTCAGAATAAGTATACTTTGGTGTTTAGATCTCTTTTTTAGTTCAGTGTATTCACTATGTCACCTGCTGTCATGCATTTTTTTTTAAATTTTATTAAATTTTATTAGTTTTAATGAACATTTACAGGGATTTTGGGTTTTCATTTGTCATGCATTTTTAAAGCCAGAGGGCATATTAGACTAGATGTTAGACTAGAGTCCAAGCAGTTCATTATCTAGTTGGTAGAAGGAGAGTGGACCTAGAGTCCGTGTAGTCTTGTACAGCCAGTAGGGAAGAATGTAGAACTCCCAGTTCCTGGTCCCTAGAGCCAGTGTGGGCAGCACCAAGGTGCTTTGTCAACGCACATCGTCTGAGTGATGCCCAGACACCGTGGGGGCCGTGGATTCCCCTGGGGCAAATGTGCAGAATGATCCCATAGCTTTTCTGATCTCTCTTGTAGACAAACATTTTATATTAGATTCCATGTTAGCATCATCTTCCGTTTTAAATTTATATTTCGTGTAGTCCCACTGTGTTTGTTTGGTGGTCATACTTTTGGCTGCTTACTCGTGATAAAGGTACATGGTTTGAGTCTACCAGGTGCTCAGAAGGAGGGTGGGTAACGGAGGCGGCCTGTGCCATGTACAGCCCCTGAAAACCTGCTGGAGGGGCAGCTCTGAGTTGGTTCTGACTCGGTGGCACCCAACAACAACATCCTTATTCATGACTCTTTACAAAGAGTCTGTGACCCTCACATATTTACCAATCTAGTTTTCCAGCCCACTGTATTTTAAGAACTGTAAATGAGAAGGAATGTGTTTATAGAGATTGACAGTGTCTGCAGTGGTAGAGATTTCTCTGTACTGGAGTGGTATTGAGGTCACTGGCAAGGAGAGGTTCTTTATGAGTGCAGAGCCTGTGTGGACCTCCAAACAGACAGTGGAGTCTGCCTTGTCTCTCTGATCTCGTGGATTGCAGAAACCTTCATTGAGCACAAAGAGGTAGCACCCTTTTGTTACATGCAGGTAGCGACCCTGATTCATGATTGTGGTGGTGATTATCAGAATAGACATGTAGCTTTATTCTCTGGTCATAAATGCATTGCAGTGTCCCATGGGAGCACAAAACCATGGTAGAGAAAATTCAGAGAATATAACTATTGATTCGTAAGAATTTTCAATGAAAATAAAAATGTCATGTTTCTAAAGCATCTTTTATCTCCTTTTTTAATCTAGAATTTGAAGAAGTGAAAACTTCAGCCTTGGACAAAAACACTAGCAGAACTTTTTGTAAGTGTTGCTGTATTATCTCAACTCTGTTATGAGGGGCGAGATTGATGGGTTGCAGAACAGGAAGTGCTTGAAGCATCCTGTTTGCCAGGGATATATGATGTCATGCTGTTTATTTCACTGATATTCTGTAGATCACTTTATAGGTCTAATAACAGTAGTTGAATATTGAGATGTAAAATTTTTGCCTATTTTGTAACAAGTGATTGGAAAAGCATTCTTAAAAAAGAATTTATATTGCATCTTTTCTGCTTATCTTAATTCAAGTATGAACATGAAATTTGCACATGGGTTAGACCTCTCAGCAGGGGGCTGGGAAATCTGACTTGGAGCTTGTAAGCCAGACCTCAGGAGAGTTCCCCCAGATGAGAATGTGATGTTGTTAAAAATCTGATGTTGTTTAAACCCAAAGAGCAGAGACTCCAAGTAGATTTTCATCTTTCAGTAATGCCTGCCTTTAGGTGCTGTAACTTCACATCTGTTTTCCTTTCCTGACATGGACAGATCATTGTGTCTTGATCATCTTGAGATAGCTTTAAATGCAGTATTTGAAAAATTACTAAATCTTCTTCATGGAAGAAGACTTTAAAAGTGTTGTTTTGCTTATTTGGGTTTTCTTTTTTAATTTTATTATTTTTTGCACATTGTACCATCAAATCAGATCTGACTGGTACAGGAGGAGATTGTCCCTCCTTCTCCAGCAGACCATCTGGTGGATTCGAACCACACGCCTCTTGGATGCTTGTTTTTAACTTTTTAAGCTTATCAGGGCTGGCAGAGTGCTATCTTGAACTTTGATGTGCCCATCTCCCACTTTGATAACAGCCTACTTTTTTGCCAGTCTGTGTCATAGATTCTTTCCTTTTGATACTTTTTTGGTGCAGCTCCAGTAGAGTATTTTAAAGCATGCCAGAGGCATCGTAATAGTTTTGTTAATGTTCCTGTATTTTTCTTTTACTATTCTGAATATTTTGTTAATATTCTGTATTTCCAAAGATTAACACCTTAAAAAAGTCACCCCAAACATATTCATGTTTTAGTAAATTTATCACATATAACAGAATTAACAAAATTCCTTATTATTTTCTAATAGTCCATGTTCATATTGATCTGATTGTCTCAAAATGTTTTCTGCCTCAGTAAAGTAAAAGAGCAAACAACCTCTGTAACACTAGATAGGGTTGATGTATGTGTATTTTTTATTTTCAATCTGTTCCTATATTAATGTCACTCAGCAGTAAACAACAATATTCATTGAAGAAATTGGATCTTTTGTCCCACAGAATTTCTTACATTCTGCTTTAGGCCAGCTGCATCCTGCTGCTGCCACTTAACCTATTTTCCCCCTATGAACTGGTAGTTTGATTTCATACTTGATTACATTTATAACCAGCTTGCTTGCCTATTCATCTAGTGGTGAGCAGTTTTATTTTTTTTTTTTTATGTTGAGCTGTAAACCCGTATTGAAGGCTGTAGTCTTGTGATCTTAATGCAGCAAGTGTTTTAAATCTTCCTTCAGCAAGCAAGGTTGTGTCATTTGTGTAATGTTCACTGTTAATGAATCTTCCTCTAATCTTGAGATCGTATCTTTTTTTGTATAGTCCAGCTTCTGCAAAGATTTGTTCAGCAGACAGATTGAAATAGGTATAGAGAAAGGATACAATCCTGATGCACACTTTTCCTGATTTTAAACTGTGCATTGTGCCCTTGTTCTGTTCAGGCAACTGCTTCTTGGTCACATAAGCACACACAATGAAGTGTTCTGGGACTCCCATTCTTTTCAGTGTTACCCATAACTTGTTATATGATCCATCTTTTTTTAATTTTTATAAATTTTATCATTTTTTGTGTGCGTACCGTCAAATCAGATCTGACTAGTACAGGAGGAGATTGCCCCTCCTTCTCCAGCAGAGCATCTGGTGGATTTGAACCACACACCTCTGGGATTTCAGTGCAGCTCTTGCCACTAGGCCACCAGAGCTCCCTTTTCTTCTAATTAGCTGTGGACAACATCTCTTCTATTTAGCTGGGAACAAATGTGAATTTCTTCTAGTTAGCCGTCTAGGTAGCTGGCTTCCAAATTCTTGGGATAGGCTCTTGAGTACATGCAGAGGTACATTTCTTTGTTGAAACATGCCACTTGGTATTCCATCAATTCCTGGGTTCTTCTTTTTTTTTGTGTGTGTGTGTGTGTGTTCTTCTTTTTTGCAGTTCCTTCTGTGCAGTAGAACATCTTCCTTCAGTACCATTGGTATCACTTGGTATCCTGTAATGGTTCTGTGTCAGCCACTTCCTTTTGGTAATGATTCTGTGTATTCCCTCCATGCTCTTTTGATGCTTCCTGGGTCATTCAGGAAATTCAGCTAGAGCACCTCTCAGTGTTACAATTTGCGGCTTGAATTTGTCCTGCAGTTCTTTTAGCTTGAGAAATGTTGAGCATTTTCTTTCCATTTGGCTTTTTATTTCCAACTCTTTGCATATTTTTGTAATACTTTGTCTCCTCCAGCTGCTCCTTGAAATCTGCTCAACTGTCTTAGTTAAGCATTTCTTCACTTTGGTTTGGGTTAAGTTCTAGTGAAAGTTTCAGAGTCTCTTCTGACATCCATTGTAACCTCCC